TCCCTTGAAAGCCCTTGAATCTCTCATCTGGTTCCAAATCTTTATTTTTTTTTTTTAAAGATTTTATTTATTTATTCATGAGAGACACACACAGACACACAGACACACACACACACACACACAGACACACACACACACAGCAAGAGAGAGAGGCAGAGACACAGGCAGAGGGAGAAGCAGACTCCATGCAGGGAGCCCGATGTGGGACTCGATCCTGGGACTCCAGGATGATGCCTGAGCCGAAGGCAGGTGCTAAAATGCTGAGCCACCCAGGGTTCCCCTGGTTCCAAATCTTTAGAAGTGCCCCAGCCAGCTATTTATATAGGGGTCCCTCCACATGTTCTCTCCTGGCTCCATTTGTAAAACAAGGAAGATGGGTGACACCAAAGAAGTCCTCATCCCATGGGTTTGGTTCCCAGAGAGCTACCTGTTGGGATGTGGGATGAAAAGCCCCCAGATCCCCTTTAGGGAGGGAGCATGTCTCAGCTAGGTCCTGATCATTTCCAGGCCTGAATATTACCATGGCTCTTCAGATGGACACTGACACTGAAGAAAACATTCCTTGATTAAATAAATCTTTTGATTAAAGTCATGAGATTGTCATCATTGGCTTATCCTCCTTTCTAAGATGAGAACAGTTAACAATGCCTACCTCATCGGTTTAGGGTTCTTTTTTTTTTTTTTAAGATTTTATTTATTTATTCATGAGAGAGACACACAGAGGCAGAGGCAGAGGCACAAGCAAAGGAGAAGCAGGCTCCCTGTGGGAAACCTGATGTGGGACTTGATGTGGGATCACACCCTGAGCCAAAGGCAGATGCTCAACCACTGAGCCACCCAGGCGTCCCTAGTGAGGGTTCTTAATGAAGATGACATGAGCTGACCTATGGGGTGCTTTGAATGGAACCTGGCACATAGTAGGTGCTCAACAGACATTAAATTTCCTTACTGCTCTGAGTCTATTATTCTCGGACTGTTCATTCACTTAGCCTTCTGTTTTCTCACTCGATGAACTTTCTATATTTTGACACGTATCACAAAGGTATTTTGATGAATGTTTAATGTCCCCCTTCATTCATGAAAGAACTCCAGGGTCCCCAGTGAAAGAAGCATATGGCAGGCAATCTATGCTGTCTATCAAGCAAGCACAAGTTTTGACATGATTAAAAAAGCCTGCCTCTTCTGCAACTCTCCTCCCTTCATTCCCCTTTTTACTTCTTTCTTCTCTCTTCAAAATCCTCTAAAGGTTCCTGGCAGATATTTTATTAACCCCTGACAGGTTACGGAAAGTGAGCTTTAGCAGCATGAAGATATATGTGATGTATAAAGCAGCTCGCCAAATGGCAAAGTGCAGGGCAGAGGCTGAAATCCCTCCCCAGAGCAGAGGCCCTGGGTGTTGCTAGGAATTCTCGTCCTCAAGCAAAACCTGCAGCAGGAATCCCTTCTTTCCCATTGTGAAATGGAAGCTAAAGCCCTTGCCAGCTCCCCAGTGCCACAGGGCTCCTCGGGTGGCATTCACTGCCCTGGAGAGAGGAGGTGGAGGCGGACTGCCTGCCCCCCATCTAGGCTCGGTCTCCGCAGTGTTCTCCACTCTCCCAGGCCTCCAGAGCCCCGTAAATGACTGCTACCAGCCAGCTCTGTGGTGAGGCTGATCTGGTGAGAACTCTGCCTCCGAGGAGCCACGGGGATTGACGCTGCCGTGTGGAACATGCAGATCTCCCACTAACACTCAGCAGACCCCCTGCCTGCGGTGGGACCCATCACCAGTGCTCCCTGAGTCTCCAGCCCTGCCCAGAGGGCCAGGTCTTTGGAGCAGGGCCCCTGCAGTCGCTGCTCCCATGGGCAGACACATCCTTTCTCCTATTATAGTTACAACAAAAACAATAAACAGTAACACCACCGAAGGTCCTGGTGGGCGCCCACAGATCAACATCCTCACAATGCCCACGGAAACTTGTCAACGCATGGACTCTTTGTTTCACTGTGGTCCATGGGGCTTCTCATGCCTTTAAAAATAAATATTAATGCTGAGAGGGCGCCCTGTTTCCTTTTGCACTCTCATAGCTGGTGATGGAAGGCTCCAAATGAGACACTTTTGGGGCAACCAAGTGTGAAAAGGGAGAGAGACACTCATTTTTGCCCCTGTAGTCAGAAATGAAGAGACTTTTGCCTTGTTGGGCTACAAGTTACTAATTCGGAGGATGGCAGTTTTAGAGTTGATCTCAGTTTGACTTGTAAATGAGAGGTGGAATTACCCTGCTGTGCGGCTGCTGGCCCCAACAGGCCTCGCAAACCCTGATCTCCATGTTGAGGTGGAGCAGACGTTCATGGACATCACTAGAAAGTTCAGGAAAGTAGGAGGTGGTGAGCAAGCAGTGGGAGATGGTGAGGCTCCAGTAGAGAGCACGGCCAGGGCCCCTACTTGCCTCCTCCACGTCCTCCCCTAGAGAGAGGGGGAGGATCTGGCTCTCCCCTTACAGAAAGGCTCGCAGCCTTTGCCGTATCAGAATCACTGGGGAGCTTGGTAAAAATACAGATGTGTGGGCTCTTCCGTGAGCCCAGGCCTCTGCACTGTTTTTAGCTCTCCTAAACCAAGACTTCAGAACCATGGCTCAGGAGAGCGGAGGGAAATAACCGATGAGAAGAGCTAGTAAAGCTTTATTGAAATAGAAATATAAGTTTCTTCTAATACTTTTATCAGTAAGCTGCCATGTCCAGAGTGCCTGGCATGGGCCCAGCTTCGCTGTCATTCCAGGAAGCCCACAACACAATCCTGCAGGTGGGACTGACCATCCCTGCTTCACTGATAAGGACTCAGCAGCTCAGAGAGGGTCAGGTGAACTCTGCCTAGGGATGCACAGCCAGTAAGTGCTCATCTACTGGAAAGACTAGATGCAGTCTACCACAACTGAAGCCCAGGGCTGCCTCAGTTTCTCACATTCACACCCCACGGGCTGGGCTGGCATGTGGCCGGCCCTTCTGCAGGGAGCTCCTGGTGCTTGCTGGCTGTATCACCCTCTCCACCACACCTGGGTGGCCTTTCATTTCTTCTCTTCGTCCTGATTCCGTCCTTCTCCCTTGTCTTGCTTTGCCTTCACCTCTCCTCCTTCCTTTAGAGGTTCTCTCAGTTGTGCTAACACATACAGCGAAATCACTCGTAGTCTGTGCTACCTGCGGAGTGACCGGGGGATCGGTTTGGGATGTGGCCTGGGCTTCAGGATTTTTAAAGCACTCCTGGGTGATTCTAAAGGGGCATCTGGGTGGTTTAGTTGGTTAAACATTTGCCTCTTAATTTTGGCTCAGGTCCTGCTCTCAGGGTCCTGGGATTGAGCCTCAAGTTGGGCTCCTTGCTCAGCGGCGAGTCTGCTTCTCTCCCTCCACTCGTGCGCTTGCACTCTCTCTCTCTCTCTCTCTCTCAAATGAATAAACAAATCTTTAATAAATAAATAAATAAATACTCCTGGGTGATTCTAATGTGTGGCTAAGATTGCAGAGACCTGCTTTATCTAGGTCTGTCAGATGCAACCTGGAGAATCAGGAAAGTCACCTGGACATGCCCAGGCTGAGGTGGCTGACCATGGAATGGGTCACCCACTGTTTTAAATAAAGCACCACCAAGAAGCAGGAGGTGGCCTCCGGTGACACTCATACCAGCCGAGAAAACATCTGGCTATCCCAGCTGGCCACATGGAGTGAGTCCCAGCACCTCCATGGGCAGAGTGTACCTTGGCAGGTCTCTGCTCGGAACCAGGGGACGGCCACAAGCTGTGTCCTGGGAAGAAGAGCAGCTACCACAGCCTCCCTGCATCCTACACCACCTGAAACAAGGGGTGACTGTGCCCACGCGGCTCTCCTGGTGAGACCCATACTATAAAGCAGATCTTAAAACTTGCTTTATTGGCTCATTCTGCAAACGAGCTCCCTGGTTTCATTACACACAGACGTGGCACAGGATGGAAAATCTTACATAGAGCTCTGCTTCACACCAATCTCCTCAAGGAAGGCTTTCAGATTGTTACAAAACCTCCTGTTCCTACCTTGGGCATTTGCCTGTGGACAAGAACAGCTCCCTGCAGAGGATTCTGTGTAGAGCATGGATGGCAGCCCATCAGGGATGAGCAGGCTGGAAACACAGCATTAACTCAAACATCTGAAGCTTCTGCGCCCCACAGAAGTCATGGTACTGCTGTGCAAGGCACGCACTGTATCCCCAGCCCTTGGCACCAAGCCTGGTGCATGGAGGTCACCAATGAATGAGCAAACGCGTGTCATGCTGAAGGTGGAGTTTAAACCCTCTACTTGCCACAGACAAGGAAATGCTGAGACAGGTTAACAAGCAGAGTTTTCCCCATGGAGCACGTCCAGCCAGCAGATCAGAGGGCAGAAGGGGCAAGGACACCGGCTGAGTGCAAGCCACCAGGGAGAGCTGGAAAAGACCCCCTTGGGACGCCCCTGTCCTTGGCTGTGGGCCAGGAAGGAGGAAGAGAAGCAGAGTAGGGGTGGTGTGTCTGCTCCTCCAGCTTCCCAGGTGAGGAAAACTGGCCTTCTGAGGGAGCTGGTGTCGTGGGACATGTCCAGATCCCATAAGGCTCCCTGTTCGCTGCACCCTTGCTGTGAGGAGGTGGTTGCACAGAGATGGTTCGGGACAGAGGCATCACTCACTTGGCTTAGGACAGCTGTTCCTCATGAGAGACAGCTGCACTGGGGCCCCACACTTGGCCGCCAGCTCAGCTGTGCCTGCGGGGACCTCGGAGAGTTGAAGCAGCTTCTAAGTGGGAGGGTTTTCAAAGGCATCAACAATTAAACCAACTCTGAAAAGGTGACGGAAGACAAGGGGTGCCATGTGGATGGCTACATGCCTGGCAGGAGTTCAGAGGGAGAGGAGGCTGGGACATCGGCCTCTGGATGGGTGTGGGGCCCTGGGAAAAGCGTGTGTGAGAACTCCGTATGGATATCTGTGATCACGCAGTTGGAACAGTAAACATTTGCTGGAGAGATTCCTTCGCTCTCTTTTCTATCTCTTGTGTACTTCCAAGCGGTGCAATTTATTTTAGCAAGAATCACTGTGCTCCTCTGTTATCGCCCGACCTTGGGCTGATTCTGAAGGTGACTTGCCATGGAGCATCAGCCCTCCACTCCATGGTGTAGAAAGCCTGCCCTGTGGCCCTGCCCTAAATACACACTGTCTCTGGGCTCACACGGAGACAAAGACGTGGCAGCCAGAGCAGGAAAGAAAAAGCCATCTTAAAGAAACAGAATGCACTGGATCCTGAAAAGTTTGACTACATCCCAGAGGATGTATTTGGGGGACGACTACGCCAGTCAGAATAGAGACTTGTCAGTTGTTGTTCAGTAAGCTGGAAAGGCTACGGTGGCGGTGTTCATGCCCACCTTTCTCCTTAACTTAGGAACGAATAAGTGTGTGACGTCATCAGGTTCCACTTCCTCGACCACCACACCATCTGCTAACTTCCTGTGTTCAGATTCCGTGCTCAACAAGCTACCTCCCAAGTTCACCTGGCTTCCCAAGAAAATGCAGCCACAGGGAGACCATGGGCAGGGACAGGTAAGCATATGGGTTTGCTTACAAATGAATATGCTGGCATTACAGCTTGAACACCTCATCCAGTGGGCCGTTAATGGGAGTTGGCCCCTGAGAGATGGATCTGTCTAGGGAATAGACAAATCAGGTCTCCACGCAGCCAAGATGAGGTTTAGACCATGTACTGTGGTGGATCCAGCAAGTAGTGCCACCCTCAGAAGCCTCCTGGAGGTCACGCTCTTAGTCTCTGCGTGCTGGTAGCCCAACCCATTGTTGAAGGCCTTCCATGGCTACTTCTCAAATTTATAACTTTTACTAGACTCACAAATGCCCAAAGTTTCACAGGGCTTGGACACTGTGCATGATTTCCACGGTGCAAGGAGCAGCGAGCATCTGTTCCACTCCTTAGCTAGGTGGAAAATTTCACAGCTGATATAAATTCTGATCTGTTTATTCCTGTAGCCGCCCCTGATGCTAAGATAATCAGGCTGAGTTCCAGTCAGAAAAGTTGCCCAGAAGGAGTCTGAGAGATGCTTGCTCTTAAAGAACACAGGATTTTGCTGGGGAGATATATATATATACAAGAAACAATCAAACACAGTCAGTGTCACAAAGGCACAGCCCAAGCTGATAAAGGAGTGAGCCAGAATTGGGTGGAGGTAATCTCAAAAGGCTTTCTAAAAGAAGTATTTCTAAGAAAAAACAGCTTAGTGTCATGATAAAAAGGATGGGTTTTGAAGTCAAACAGACCTGGGTTCAAATACTCAACTGTTTTATAACTTGATAAGGTACAGAAGAGGCTAAGCAGGGTGGAAACAAAGTGCCTGACACGTGGGAGGCGCTAGAGAAATGGTCATGAAGAAATATCCACGCAGCAGGAGAAAGGAGGAGAAAAGTTTACACTCACGTTGCATCAGACACTATTCTTCCTCCCTTTTGTATTACCTCATTTCACTGCTGCAACATACTTATGAGGTAGGTACCAATTATAACCCCATTTAGTGATGAGGAGAACAAGGCCCGGAGAAGCTAAGTGACTTGCCCAAGGTCAACACAGCTGGGATTTGAATCCAGGCCATCTGAGCCCTGCTTTGGAATGTTAACCGCTTTCCTGTCTTTTTCCATTACATTTACTATACCACCGCTCTTTGAGTCATATTTATTATCAGACAAAATCATCAGAGCATCTTCGATGTTTAGGATGAATACTGAAAACCTTATAGGCGCCTTGCTTGTAGAGGAGTGGCTGTTTGGTGCTTCTGTTGATCACTCAGCGATCTATCGCAGACAGTGATATGTACGGACCATTTTGTTTCAGTTAATATTCAGCACCATATAAACATTGACTCAGCTGGAGAGCCTGAACAATAAATTATCACTAGCCCAAGTGCTAAAATAGCACTTGATTTTCTCTCTGCCTGAGCCTGCTATCTATTTATACTTTGCTTACTTCTCTGGAGTTCAAAGTGTTTTATACACATTTCATCATAGCCATACTTATGTCGATTTATTGTCTTTATTACACACATGTGACTAATGTATCTAACAACACTTCCTATTTACTACAGGATGCTCAGTTTTCAACTAGTTTTTCTTTTTTTAATCTAAGGGATTTACTGACTACATTTAATTTATACTGAGTGGAAATTTGCTGACAATTAGAAGAATAGCGTTTTATAGTTTCTTTTTTAACTGAATTCATTTGGTACATGATAGGATCATTCTTGTTTCTGAATTGTAACCATGTATTATTTCTTATCCTTTACAATTCCATCTATGACTGACCTTGAACTGGGATAGATCTGATATTTTAAAATTATAAGTACAATTGCCTTTTTCACTCAGTAGACTTCCTAAGATCCAATATGTATACATAATTCTTATTTTTTCAGGTTGATGAGTGCATTGACACACACGCATTTTCAAATCTGGTCTTCACCTTTTCGGTTTTCATATTCATGGGCAAAAAATAAATTTAGATGATAAGTTAGAGTCGGGAAAAGAAGTCCAGAGAAAGGCTTCCTTGACTGGCTGGAGGATGGAATGAGAGCCCAAAATTCACGTGTGTATAAACTGGAAAACTAGGTTTGTGCACTGTGAGGAGTTAACAGAACTTAAGATTTTGAACCAAGCCTTAGTGCCAAACACATAAAGAGAAACGAAACAAGAGTTGTCATTTGATGTTTCTGTCCATGACACATAAAAATAGTCTAAATGCTTCGCCTAAGGCTGGGGCAGTCTGTTTCCTTTGGTCCTCCCCTCCTGTGAATATCCATATTCATTATTGAAAACAGATACTTTGGCCTTAAGCATTTCTCTGTTTTAGAAAAGGGATATATTGAGTGCCTGGGTGGCTCAGTCGGTTGAGTGTCTGACTCTTGGTTTTGGCTCAGGCCGTGATCTCAGGGTAGTGAGATCAAGCCGCACATCGGGCTCTGTGCTCAGCGGGGAATCTGCTTGAGGATTCTCTTCTTCTGTCCCTCCCCTACTCACGCTTGCATGCATGCTCTCTTTCCCTCTCTAATAAATAATCTTTAAAAAAATTTAAAAATTAAAAAAGGATATTATGCTAACAGTCCCTGTTCAAGAACCAGCAGTTATTCCCTACCACAGGAGTCCCTAAAGTTTCTACCTTGGCTGAGTGTGTCATCTGCCAGTGTGAATTTAGGAAGATGGCACAGGTATGATCAGCATGAGAGAGACACGTTCTCAACACTGTCAGAATCAGTAATGGTATTGGAGGAATGTTTAAAAGCAAAGCTGCTTATTCTAGGAGGTCTCATACCCTGATATTATGGACCTTGAACAATCTGTAGTCATTATCCTCACTCAGAAGAGAAGGTCAGGCATTTTAGCCTCAGATGCGCAGGTGCACTGAGTTCTCTCTTACCACTAGGCATCTGTACATCCTCCTCTCTCTTCACAGGTAACGGGGCACTTCAATGATTCTTCTTGTAGGACTTAGTTTAAAAAAGGTTTTCCTAAGACCAGACTGGATTCCCTACTTGGTGGGCATAGTATCAAAGCTATGCCTACCCCGCTTATCTTACAAGATTGCAAACTTCCAGGATCACCTAAAGACCAGATCTTAGGAAAAAGCTGAATGGAAGAAGAGATAAAAGGCAGCAGAAAAGCAAAGAAGGGAGATGGGGGCTTGAAAGGGCCTTTCTTTTTTTTTTTTTCCCTCTCTCTTTTAAAGATTTTACTTATTTTTATTTAAAAGAAAGAGAGGAGATGTAAAGGGGGAGGGAGAGAGAATCCCAAGCAGACTCCCCACTGAACATGGAGCCCGACTCGGAAGATCATAACCTGAGCTTAAACCAAGAGTTAGATGTTTAACCAACTGAGCCACCCAGGTGCCCCTGGAAGGTCCTTCCTTATGACTGTTATTGTGACTTCTACATGGCCACCCTGGGTATACCCTCTGGAGCCGTGGAAATCTCATAAATCAAAACCAGACCAAGCCTAAAATTAGTTCAACAAAGAAAAATTACATTACTTGAAGGTTTCAAAAGCAGCTTTTGCTTTTTTATTTTTCTTTGTTCTTTATCTCAAGAAAATAAATAACGGTATGGTGTTCAAATCTGAATCAGGTCCAACCCTGAAGGCTGGAGCAGTTTTCAGATGGCATGCTCCACTTGGCCATGCTAACACAGGGTTGGCATTTCCACCAGGGAAATATCAGCAGAATCAAACGAGCTTGGGAAGTTTCCATTAGCTTCATAGCTATATGTTCAGAGTTCAGACAAATGTGAAGCACAGAATAATAAAAATGGTGAGTGGAATGTGCTAGAAAGCAAGAAAATAGCGAACAATTAAAGCATGTGTTCTATGGTTTTTTTCAAAATGATCTGTTTCAACAACAAAACAGACTCTCTGAGAAATGAACTCACCAGTGCCATATCTCAAGCAGAACGACATATGGAAATAGCACGGTCTTTGGCGTTAGGCTGGCTTCGAGGGCCAGCTCCCAAACTTCCTGGCTACATGACTTTGGCAAGTCACTTAAGTTGATGGGTACAGTCTCCATCTCTTCATCATTTCTCAGGATTTTGTGAGGTTTAGAGAAAATATAAGTACAAGTGCTCAGCACCTAGTTCAGTAATAATGACCAATGTGATCACCATCATCTTTAACACCATTGGAGAAAGAATAAAAACATCAACTTGGAAATTATGAACGACGCTAAGCTGGACCGAAGTTTAATTGTTTATGTGATATGCGTAAGGGCTAAAGAAATAAATTACAGTGCAAACTAGAAAGTAGCTAACACACTTGAGAGAGCTACCTTTTAAGCATTTTAATAATACCCATTTTATTGCAAACAATATGTGTATGCCAACTAATCTTAATTTGTAATACTCTGTCATTATTATTAATCTTAATTTATAATACACCATAATTATTCAATTATATTAACAGAACAGTATTTTTACATCCTTCCAGAAAATGCTACACATGTGCATGCATATATATGCATCTAATTTTTTTCTCATCGATGAGATCATACTCCCCATACAGACAGCAACTTTTTCACTCTACAGTAATCTCAGGCATCTTTCTATGTGAGTTCATGAACATCTATCATGTCTTTTGATAGCTGTATTTAATTTCTTAATATCAGTTTACCATCATTTAGCCAGACTTCACACATGTATTTCTTTTTCTACCCTGGTTAGTGCGTTTTATGCTTTTGCTTCCAAAAAAAGATAAATAATGCTATGATGAATGTCCTTCCATATATATATAGGAAAAAAACCCTAGAAGTGAATCGGCTGAGTCAGAGGGTACATAAATTTAGTATTTTCAAAACTGAGGTCAAAATTGCCCTTCAAAAAATTTATGAAAATATGCCTTCCTTTAATGGTGTGTGAAAGAAAAACCCTCTTTTACGCTTGCTTCTCCTAATTCTTTCTTTCTAGACATGTCCCAGAGAAGTCAGAGTATCAACCAATTTAAATATTTACCCTTCAAAACTTATCCTTACTTCCTGATAGTTTCTTGCATTTATCATCTGTAGACGC